AGAAGAAGAAGAAGAAGAAGAAGAAGAAGAAGAAGAAGAAGAAGAAGTTGTTAATATGTCACCTCCTCCCTTAGCAGTGAAATTAGCTTTTCCCTAGATGGTTATTGTCTTGGGCTCTTTATATGCAGCAAAATGGATGGAAGCAGTGGTGGGATTCAATTTTTTTTAACTACTGGTTCTGTGGGCGTGGCTTGGTGGACGTGGCAGGGGAAGGACACTGTAAAATCTTCAGTCTGAGGTGGTATTTGCCAGTTCTCTGAACTACTCAAAATTTCCACTACCGGTTCTCCAGAACTGGTCAGAACCTGCTGAATACCACCTCTGGATGGAAGTTGTAAAACTTTATGACTTTGAAGAAAAATAAGATAATGATAAAAGATAAGCCCTTCTGGGGATATTTTGTAGGGCAGTGCATACTTTGAAAAAGATTAGAAAGAAGTACTTCAGATTTTACAACAGCAAAGCACCTCTCTACTCAAGCAGCCTGTCTTATTGAGGCTTATGCTTGAAGTTTGAAAAAGTAGAATGACATTTCTGCTTAAAGAGTTGCTAAATGAATAGAAGTATTTCTTCCAAATCATTTTTGAAACCTGTAAAGCACTAAAGATGTAGGTCATATTGAAATGTTAATTCCATTCTAAGCTTTGTGTTCTGATAGATTTTGACAGATATCTCTTTATATCTCTTAAACGCTAATGCAGAAAATGGTCAAATGGTCTTACTTTTATTTAGTTTTATTTAATGATATTTTGATATGGTAAAACTATCTCCTGAGCTCTACAGGCAAACAATATACTGAGAATAAGTGAAATTTTAAAACCACATTTATTTTAATACAAAATGTGTTGCATCATTACAGAAGTAACCTTAACTGTGTATCTTCATATGCATGGATAATCTTCATATCTCCATTTAATTGTAAACTTATACTGGTTTCCAATACTGTTGGAATATCTTGGTAGAAATTTTCCCTTTTGTGCTTTTTCAATTAGTGCTCTACAGCTACTTTATTTTTGGACTGCTAATGAGATGGGATTGAAAATTGTGCTTTACATACACAGTATATGCATCAAAGTTGCAAATATATTGTGATCTCAAATATTAGATGCACTTGGTCACACATTAATGCTGTGCAATTTCTAAATAAGGTGTTAATCATTCTTATGATAAAACAGAAGCATCACACAGTAATAAACCTTAGCACATGACCTGAAAAACTGCAATGGGAAAAGTAATTTTTCATTGTCCCAGATTGAATTTATATGCATTTTGAATTTAAAATACCAAGCACTTTATTGGTTAAAGTACTTCTTACACAGTACAACCAAAATATTTTTATTTATGACACCTAATAGCATATAGCATCTACACTTTAAGTGTATGTACAAATTCAACAAAATATCTACATATAAAAGCTTACTTAAAATTAAACTTGATGCAAGTTATGAAATACCAATTGATTGGCAAATGAAACTGGGCATTTTTCAATATAACATTTTATATTTGGAGGTAAACCAATGTTAATTTTGTGCGTGCATGTGTGTGTTTATGGGAGGGAATTTGCAATTAATATGAGGCCATTTAAATAAAATTAAACTTAGCATTTATTAAATGATTTAACTCTTTTGTAGGATTCTATACCCTGTTTCATGCCAAGCTATATTCTGATTTTCTGACTGAGAGATAAATATGCTATTGTGAGGATGCTGTATTAGCATATTATTTTGAGAATTTACATTAGCAAAATATACTAATGCAGCATTTTTTATAAGTCACATAAGATCATAAAAATGCAAGTTATATTTTATAGTTATCTCCATAAATAAAGAAATCTCAATGAGTGTTAATGTAACTTAAATACAAACCACTCCTAATCAAATCAACATATCTGGGTATTTGAAAGTGATTAAATTACTTTGGCAATTAATTGCACACTGTTAAGTCAACTGAGTTGGACAAAATACATTGGGAACATCCCTGCAAGTACTCTTTCTGCATTTGTTTGGTGTTTGCTTAAATACCACCATGTTTACCATGTTTAGAAAGCTTCCTGGTGGATGATACCAGTTATAGTACATAATGATCCGTGTATCTATCATTTCTTCAGTGAAAGAAGAAAAGGGGGGGGGGACTGATAAAGAAATCCTTTCTTGATGTAACCTGAATATATTTAATCTTATATTGAATTTGTATAACCCACACATGATACAATGGAGAGAGAAAACCCAGATGGCCGGAACCTATCACCTCTGAGAGGCACAGCCAGGAGATGAGAAGACCATAAAAATTCCCCAGTGAGATGTGTCCTGGGAATCTCTGGAAAAGTTTTTCTAAAAAGGGGGTGGAGGGAAATTAGGTATGCCCTGGGAAATTGTGAAAAAGATAATTTCTACAGAAGGGGTGGGGTGGGGAATTAACATACTGGCTTTTGTTTCACTAAATACACATCAAGATAAGGGGAGGGGTTCTAAACTCCCTTATCTATCCCTGTATGCCTGAGGGATCTTAGACGTTGCTTTGAACCCCTACATGAATTGTCTCATCTCAATAAAGGATTCCTTTTGATACATTTGGTTTTCAGAAGTTCATTCTTGTTAATTGAATGGGAAAATGGTTAATTGAACGGGAAAAAGTTCTGTAGCCTGACATGCACATTATTTGGAGGTACTGAATATATTTTGCCATGTACACTTCTGGTCTTAACTTTTTATAATTTGAAAATGTTACATCTATAAATGTACAACTCCAAAATGAATTATAACAAAAGAAAATGTAAAACCCAATGGGTACTATATTTCAAAAAATAGAAGACTGTGGTGCAGTAATACTTTGTAATTAAAAAGCTTATAAAATAAGAGAAAGAAAAGGCAGGTATCAGAATCTCAGTTAGCATCAGAAAATGTGTCATACTTAGTCATTTTCAATCATATACTGTACATCCTGTTCCTAATTGTCTTGCAAGAGACATAATGACATTAAGCTAGACATTGTCACCAATTTCACAGCAATGTCCACAAAGACATTGAAGTTCTATATAATACTACTATAACACTCTGACAATGGGAATGGACTTGAGGGATTTAGTTGAAGACTGTTTAACAAATTATGAAAAACCATTTTCACTGGCATAACTGATTTTTTTTATATATATGCAACACTTTGCATGCATTATACTGCATTTGCAGTATTAACTTGGTCACACATTAAGGGTTCCTCATCTTAACATCTTTATAAACAAATGCTGTGTAAAATGCTTCAAGTTTTGCATTCTGATTTAGATTTACTTTTGTTATAAATTCTAGCAGTTTCATCTATATGCACTTATAGGAAAAAACACTTCATTGGTTAGAATATTTGTTTCTTTTCTTATCTGTAATTAGGGGAACAAATATAAAGGTGATGTAGATGTTGATATGGAATAGTTTATTTAATTAGACAAATGAATTCATTGCATTAACTGGGGAAGGAGCTTCAGAACTTTCATTTCCTTCTGCAGGTTCTTTCTCTTTTTTCCCACTATATTGTCCAATAAAGGAGCCATCCTCATTGAACTGGCCATTGACTCCTTCTCCATAATCAACTAAACTATCATCACTATCTTCCTTTTTCACAGTCCTGTCTGAGGGTGACCTGCTTCCTTTTTTCAGAGGCTTGTGATCATCCGCGTCACTGAAAAAAAAATAAAGGAGCCATCTTTTAGAAACAATTACAACAAATATATTTTCTATAGTTAACTAAGAAATAAATGATGCATACTGATTTTTGCCAACATTTAGTTATTGCATGATAAACACAAATTAATAGAATGCAATTGGCATGAATACATGGTACAATCATGGATTAACCACAAAAAGCTTCCAGTAGCAGAACAGCATTCTTTACTTCAAATTTTGTACCAGAATAAAAAATGTGCAAGCATTAGATATGGCCTTTCAGTCTTCAAATATAAAAGCTATTGTGCATTGAAATTAGTTTGTTAAATTTCTTAATTTTCTTCATATGAATTAGAAATGAATTTGATTATATGAAAACATTGATTCCTTCATTAGGAAAATAAAATAAATATGTTCTGATTGGCATAATTTGTTATGTTACACATACCAGGGTTGAATATTTAACCTTACATTTTAAGAGACATACTGTATATATTTCATTAAAAGGGTACTGAAGAAACAAATGAAAATAGCCTAAGAAGAAAAGCAGACTCTATACCCTGACAGTGATCAGTATTTAATTGAATGAGAATGAGAACTCAATCATACATTTAAATGTTTCCACAGAATAAATAAATATTTTTATAAATAGTTGTTGCCAGGTTTGGATAAAGTCATAGATGTTATCTAAAGCTACTGGAGAAAGTGCACAATTATATAAAAATATATATTTTGCTGCTCTGCTGAAATGATAACAACATTGCAGTTCCCAATTTAGTAATTAGCTATGCAGAAATTTGTAATAATGTGTCATTCAGGTACACAAGGTTCTTACCTTACTCCAAAGCAAGTAATGCACAATGTATTTATGTTGTATGGGAGCAGTGATGCCTTGGTTACATTATTTTAACAGATACAATTGTGTACTATCTTAACAATGTAGAATTCATTTATATAGAAATGGATTCCTTGCTATTTTATATACTGAGCTAGATGTATTGGTGAATTTATTTTACAAATCAGTATGTCATGGATTTATCTCCTGTTTATGCTACTATAGAGGCACAGACTTCAACAGTATCTGGTAATGAATCAATTCTAAGTGTATCAAATAAACATGGTGAATATTTGAGTGGTTTTATACCTTTATTTTCATTCTATTTCTATAAAAAGTTACACACTATTGTCTATGGTAGGACTTTCTTTTTTTACCTGGTAGCTGTCAGCCACAGATTCTCCAGCATGGGTTTCTGCAGCATGTTTGCTATCAGCTCCCATAGAAATGGGGAGGGGGTCTTGGACATTTGGGATAGAGAAGTGAACTGGTGTGTAGCAGTCCCATGAGAACTGGAAGGCAGGTTTGTACTCATGAATTATGGTGCTGATGAGTGGAGTTTTTTATACTCTGTCAAGATCAACCATCCGGAGACTCCAAATGCACAAAATACCAAATACACAAAAAGAGGAGCTTTCCCACAACATCATGCTGAAGGTTGATTGGAATCTCAGTGCTGAACCCTGGGGGGAGGGATTTAGGTGTCTTTCAATGTGTAACCTTCATGTGTTTTGAATCAGATCTTGCCTTGCTTTTGCTGCTATCATTTCAAACTTAGTAAAAGTACCTCTTCTTTAATACAATGGAGTTGTGGGGGGGTTCTTTTTTGAGTTGTGAAATGAGGCAGGCCTGACATTAGGCAAGAACTGCTTTATCAGCCAACCCAGAGACCCTAGTCTACCGTGAGGGTTGAACACTCAATGTCAACCCACAGGAGTGACCGGGAAGAGTTCAGAGCACTGGGATCAACCTCTCCTCCGCCATGACAGAGCTATTATGAGAAGGAGTGTGGAGGAACTGCAACTCAATGAGAAGCCAGTCTAAGCCAGATGGTCACTAGGTGTAGGATGGCTGGAAGACTATGAAGAGCACCCACCAGGGGTGACCTTCACCAGAGGGGTGACTTTGCTCTGCCTGACTCCGACAAGGAGGACCTCATGCTGAGCCATGCATTGCTACTGCTATATGAGGTGATCAAGAGATCTTGGGAAACCCTTGCCCAGAAACCTGCCCAGCCATCGTATGGAGAGACCAGCCTGGCAGAAGGGGGAGTGGCTGCTTCCACAGTCAAGGCAGTGACCTCTGTTGCTCCTCAGGGAGCAGCTCCAGCTGTATCTCTGACATGCTCCTGCCTCATCACCCCAAGACTGACATAGAAATCCTCCCTGGGGAGAAATTCCCCAAGCCTATTTGATGATTTCACAAGAGTTGGATGAACTTTATGGATAAGAATTTGTAGCGGGGATTCATCCAACCAGCTAGACTGCTGGTGGCCACTGGTTAGCCCGCAGCAGGTGTAGATGGCTGAGGACAGTGAGGACTCAAATGAGAGGCCAGGACCATTAGGGAGTGGGCTGCTGCCTTCAGAGATTGTGGGGGCTGGCAGCAGTGATGAGGAGGTTCCAGAGGAGCCTGTGCCAAGTGCGTGTGCACGAAGGATTGCTCGGAGGAAAGAACAGTTACAATAGCACGGGCGACTCGGGAGTAAGGCTGCAAGGTAATTGCCCCTCCTTCAAGAAGATAAAAGCCAGCTGTGAAATTAACCTTCTTTGCAGAAGACAAAGAAGTTTTGAACACAGCCTCGTGGACATTGAAGTTGGTATTTGAAGACTCTTGTAAACTATTTCTTATCTGTTGTTTTTTGTCAGACTTGAAAAAAATTGGTAAGGGTCTTTCTTATCAGAGCTAATTAGTTGGAAGCAGCCTTTTATCTGTGAAGAAACAGGATTCTTAGCTGAAACTTAAACAGATTGTACTGCTGCCTTTGTCTTGTGTTTGCTTTCTTGGAACCAGGTTTGGGTCAGAACACCACTCCAGTGTTGTTTCGTGAAAATAAGGATCGGTCTCTTCATCTCTGCATGGATTATAAAGGGTTAAATGGTGTGTGTGTGTGTGTGTGTGTGTGTGTGTGTGTGTGTGTTAGTGTGTGTGTAAAATGTTTTCCTGCTGACGCTAATGAAGGACATGCTGGAACATTTAGCCAAAGGAAAAGTCTTTACAAAGCTGGACTTGAGGGAAGCTTACTATAGAGTTCACATTAAGGAGGGATGAATGGAAAACTGAGAAGAGGGAGTGGCAGGATTGAACAAGCCACCCCGATTCAGGGGAACGTTTGATGGGGACCCAGACCAACTGGCTCTATTCCTTGACTCCGCTGGAATCCAATTAGACTGCTATGGACACATCTACCTATCTCATAGATCCATGGTGAATGCCATTGTCATGGGACTGGAGGGAGAAGCAAAAGAGTGGCAGTCCTCCATAAGAGAGCCCCCTAGCTGCAAGACGTTGATGAATTCCTGCAAGAACTGGAAACCAGGAGGATGATTAGTATGGGGACACGGAGTTTAAAGCAGAGAGGGCAACCCATTAAAGAACACATTTGTGAGTTCAGAAGGGTCATAGGGAAGCTATCGCCCTGTCCAGAGGAGCTACTAGTCTATCTTTTCAGAGAGCCTGGATAAGTAGATCAGGAAAATCACCATCTATTGGGACATTCCAAATCGGTTCTTTGACTGGTTTCAAGTGGCAATGAAGGTTGACAGCGGCTTGTGTGCAAATTACATGCAGAGGCAGCTGGGCCCTAGAGAGAGAGAACAACCAGACTGGAGACCATCTGACCAACGGGAAGCCGTGGCAGCCCAGACAGCCACAAGATCAACCCCCTCCCCCTCATGAAGGACATGCTATTTCAAAGGCAAGGTCTTCACCAAACTAGACCTCAGAGAAGCTTATTACTGAGTCCAAATCAGGGAGGGAGATGAATGGAAAACCGCCTTCAACTGCCCCCTAGGGAGTTTCCAATTTGAAGTCATGCCTTTTGGGCTGCAGGCGCCCCCACTGGTGTTTATGCAACTAATAAACTAAACGCTGCATGAGCACCTTTAACAAGAGGGTCCTCATCTACCTGAACAACATTCTCATTTTTACCGAGACCATGGAGGAACACATATCCCTAGTCTGTCAGGTATTTGGAAAGCTTTTGGTGGCAAGCCTGTATGTCCAGCTGTCAAAATGTGAATTTCATCGCTCATGGCTAGACTACATAGGCTACAGAGTGTCAAATGATGGGATAGAGATGGACCCAGACAAAGCACAGGCTGTCCTAGAGTGGCAACCCCCTCACACCCGCATACAGCTACAAAGCTTCCTGGGATTTGCAAACTTTTACAGGCAATTCATCCCCTCCTCTGCGAAAACTGCCAAACGTATGACAGACCTCCTAAAAACAGGGAGCCCAGGGGTGAAACCCTGCCCTGGCAACCCCTCCAGTGGGACCTCCCTTGCCAAGCGGCATTTGAGACACTAAAACAGCTATTTGCAAGAGAACCAGTACTGAAACATGCCAACCCCAAACAACCCTTCATCATCCAAGCCAATACCAGTGACGTGGTGGCAGGAGCCATCTTAACTCCAAGGAAATTCCCAGGGGAACCTCAGCCCTGTGCCTATACATCCTGTAAACTCACTGACACGGAGAGACGGTGGGCAATGTGGGGAAAAGAGGTTTTTGCGGTAAGATGGGCACTACTAAACTGGTGCCACCTTCTGGAAGGGGGGGGGGACTTATTCTCCAAGCAGGCACAATTCATACTCTGCAGCAGACTACCCTCAGCCCACCAATTAGCCAAACTCTTCCTGAAGCACATTACCACCTGCATGGAGGACTGCATAGAATCATCTATTGGACAAAGGCGGCCAATTCACGACGAAGTTCTGGAGGGTGTTCTTGCAGTTCATTGGATCATCCCAGGGCCTTAGCTCGGCATTCCATCCGAGCCCCACCAATGGTGGGGCAGAGAGATTGAATACCATGGTAGAACAGTACTTGAGGTGCTACGTGAACTACCAGCAGTCCAATTGGCCTGACCTTCTGCCATTCGCAGAGGTCGCTTACAATAATACTGTTCACAGTAGCACCTTTCAAGGTAGTAAGCAGTATGGACTATGTCCCAATGCCG